TGTGAGTAAAATTGTGAGTAAAGTTACTGTGAGTGAAGTTACTCTGAGTAAAGTTTTTGTGAGTAACTTTACTCTGAGTAAAGTTACTGGGAGTAACGTTACTGGGAGTAAAGTTACTCTGAGTAAAGTTATTGTAAGGTTACTCTGAGAGTGAAGTTACTCTGAGTAAAGTTATTGTGAGTAAAGTTACTGTGAGTGAAGTTACTGGGAGTAAAGTTGCTGGGAGTGAAGTTACTCTGAGTAAAGTTACTCTGAGTAAAGTTAAAGTTACTGGGAGTGAAGTTATTGTGAGTAAAGTTACTCTGAGTAAAGTTACTGGGAGTGAAGTTACTCTGAGTAAAGCTATTGTGAGTAAAGTTACTGGGAGTAAAGTTATTGTGAGTGAAGTTACTCTGAGAGTAAAGTTAATCAGAGTGAAGTTATTGTGAGTAAAATTGTGAGTAAAGTTACTCTGAGCAAAGTTACTGGGAGTAAAGTTATTCTGAGTAAAGTTACTCTGAGTAAAGTTAAAGATACTGTGAGTAAAGTTACTCTGAGTAAAGTTACTGTGAGTGAAATTATTGTGAGTAAAGTTACTGGGAGTAAAGTTACTCTGAGTAAAGTTATTGTGAGTAAAGTTATTGGGATTAAAGTTACTCTGAGTGAAGTTATTGTGAGTGAAGTTATTGTGAGTAAAGTTACTGGCAGTAAAGTTACTCCGAGTAAAGTTACTGGGAGTGAAGCACAGCTTGCAATGGAGCTTTTCCCTTTTTTTCAATTCATGACCTGATTAATCACCTTTCAGACATCACCAATACCTCAAAAATAACCTCAAAAATAACTCAAAGTGGACTCACCCATAACTCAAAATTAACTCAAAATTAACTCAAAAATAACACAAAAAAAAAACCTCAAAAAACTAAAAAAAAAATCAAAAAATAAAAAAACTCAAAAACCCTCAAAAATAACTCAAAAAAAAACTCACCAATAACTCGCCAATAACTCAAAATTAACTCAAAATTAACTCAAAATTAACTCAAAATTAACTCAAAAGTAACCTCAAAAACTAACTCAAAAAAATAAAAAAACTCAAAAAAAAAAAAACCATAACTCAAAAATAACTCAAAAATAATCTCAAAAATAACTCACCAATAACACACCAATAACCCAAAATTAACTCAAAAATAACCTCAAAAATAATGCAAAAAAATAAAAAAAAAACTTCAAAAAAACCTCAAAAAAACTCAAAAAACCCTCAAAAATAATCTCAAAAATAACTCACCAATAACACACCAATAACTCAAAATTAACTCAAAAATAACTCAAAAGTAACTCAAAAAAACCCTCAAAAAACTNTCAGTAGTACTGCAGAAAATCTGGGAGAAATGGGGGAAGGCAGGAGAGGAACAAGGAGGGGAACAAGGAGGGGAAATGAGGAGGGGAAACAAGGAGGGAGAAAAAAGGAGGGAGAAAAAAGGAGAACAAACAAGGAGGGAAACAAGGAGGAGAACAAGGAATAGAACCAGGAGGAGAAATGAGGGGGAAACGAGGAAGGGAACCAAGGAAGGGAAACAAGGAAGGGGAACAAGGAGGGAGAATGAGGAATAGAACGAGGAATAGAACGAGGAGGAGAAACAAGGAGGGAGAAACAAAGAGGGAGAAACAAGGAGAGGAAACAAGGAGGAGAAAACAAGGAATAGAAACAAGGAGGGGAACAAGGAGGAGAACAAGGAGGGGTGGGGAACAAGGAAGGAGAACGAGGAGGAGAAACAAGGAGGGAGAAACAAAGAGGGAGAAACAAGGAGAGAGACAAGGAGGAGAAAAAAGGAGGAGAAACAAGGAGGGGAAACAAGGAATGGAAACAAGGAAGGGAAACAAGGAGGAGAGACAAGGAGGAGAGACAATGGGAACAAGGAGGGGAACAAGGAATAGAACGAGGAGGAGAAACAAGGAGGAAGAAACAAAGAGGGAGAAACAAGGAGAGAAAAAAGGAGGAGAAACCAGGAGGGGGAACCAGGAGGAAGAACAATGGGAACAAGGAAGGGAACCAAGGAGAAGAACAAGGAGGGGAAACAAGAAGGAGAACCAAGGAGGGGAACCAAGGAGGGGAACAAGGAAGAGAGACAAGGAAGGGAAACAATGGGAACAAGGATGGGAACAAGGAGGGGAACAAGGAGGGGAACAAGGAGGGGAACAAGGAGGGGAGACAAACAAGGAATAGAACAAGGAATAGAACAAGGAGGAAGGACACAGAGTGGAACAAGGAGGAAAAACAAGCAGGAAAAACAAGCAGGAAAAACAATGGGAACAAGGAAGGGAACCAAGGAGAAGAACAAGGAGGGAAACAAGGAGAGGAACAAGGAAGGGAAACAAGGAGGGAGAAAAAAGGAGAACAAACAAGGAGGGGAACAAGGAGAGAACAAGGAGGGGAGACAAGGAATAGAACAAGGAATAGAACAAGGAATAGAACAAGGAGGGGAAAAAAGGAGGGAGAAATGAGGAAGGAAACCAAGGAGGGGAAACGAGGAAGGGAAACAAAAAGGGGAACAAGGAATAGAAAGAGGAATAAAACGAGGAATAGAACAAGGAGAAGAAACAAGGAGGGAGAAACAAAGAGGGAGAAACAAGGAGAGAAAAAGGAGGAGGAACAAGCAGGGAGAACAAGGAATAGAACAAGGAAGGGGAACAAGGAGGGGGAACAAGGAGGAAGAACAATGGGAACAAGGAAGGGAACCAAGGAGAAGAACAAGGAGGGGAACAAGGAAGGGAAACAAGGAGGAGGAACAAGGAGGAGAGACAAGGAGGGGAAACAATGGGAACAAGGAGGGGAACAAGGAGGGGAGACAAAAAGGAATAGAACAAGGAGGGAGGACACAGAGTGGAACAAGGAGTGGAACAAGGAGGAAAAACAATGGGAACAAGGAAGGGAACCAAGGAGGGGAACAAGGAGGAGAACAAGGAGGAAAAACAAGGAGAGGGACAAGGAGAGAACAAGGAGGGGAGACAAGGAATAGAACAAGGAGGAGAAATGAGGAGGGAGAAATGAGGAAGGAAACCAAGGAGGGGAAACGAGGAAGGGAAACAAAAAGGGGAACAAGGAAGGGGAACAAGGAGGAGAACAAGGAGCGCACGGCTCTCCTGGCAGTCAGGGTCTGCCAGCACAGCCAGTTGAACATTCCCAGCACCCAGAACTCC